GGTTTTTCCCCCCCCCTTTAAAAAAAAAAAAAAAAAAAAAAAAAGCCATGAGGTGCTATAAAAGCATTAATCTGGAAAAAATCCTGAAGTAAGAAGAAAAGGGAGAAACAAATAAAAGGAGAGCAGAAAAGAATGGGCTGTGTAAGTTGCCTTTTTGTTTGACCAGATGTTTTAAATAATTGTGTAAGGAACAAATGTGAAGAGTACCTGAAATTAAATGTGTCAGACTTTTTTTTTTTTTTCCCTGGAGTTTCTGTATCTCACTGTCTTCTCCTTCACTCCCCTCTCATCCGCCCGTGACTGTACACATTCAAATTATTTTTCTCTTTTCTTGAACAGGAGCAAACATGGAGCTACAAACTACATTCCAGAGCAGTTTTTAGATGACTTTATTGATCTTGTTGTGTGGGGTCATGAACATGAGTGCAAAATAACCCCGTCCCAAAATGAACAGCAACATTTCTATGTTTCTCAGCCAGGAAGTTCAGTGGTGACATCTCTGTCCCCCGGAGAAGCTGTGAAGAAGTGTGTGATCTTTTCTTTTTGTTCTTGTTTATCCTGTGTCTTACATCTCATGTGTGTTGTGTTGAGAAAGAAAAAACACTTCTGTTAAGTATGAAAGGACTTGTTATAGTGTGACATAACAAATGAAGTAGATGGAATCGGTGATTTTGCTTTACTCAGAATTAAACCTAACATTTAAAGGAAATGGGACTTACCTATGTAGAGTTACATCCTGATAAATTGGAACACAAGGAACCGTGTACCTGTGCTTGTGTAAAGAACAAGCACGATCTAAATATGATAGAACTGAAGTTTGGCAGGGCCAATCCTGAAGTACAGATCCAAGAACTTCCCATAGCTTTTAAACTTTTTTCCCTGAAAATTAAACATGAATTTAAAACAAATCTTTATACCATAGTACTAAGTTTATCTTCTAGTAAGTTACCTTTCTCCTTCTAGGCACATTGGTTTGCTGCATGTTAACGAGAAAAAAATGAAAATGCAGAAGATTGCTCTAGAGACAGTGCGAACTTTCCATATGGAGGATATTGTTCTAGCTGATCATCTAGATCTTTTTAATCCTGACAATCCTAAAGTAACTCAGGCAATACAAGCATTCTGCATGGAAAAGGTAACTTGTAATGCTAACAGTATATGGATAACACTGTATGGGCTGGGAATGGGATCTGTAACTGGTTTTGAGACTGGAAGATGAGATATCTTGTGTCTTGCCCCGTAATACTTGACTGACTTAGGCAGTGTTTCCATAGGAAGCTAATTCCATGAAATTCACTGCAGTCTTTGCTTCCAGATTTCTTGACTGGGATGACCTATTAAACTAGACTGGAACTGCCTTATGGGGGTCCATATCATCTTTGTACAAAAACCCCTGCCTGCAAGTGGGGCAGTGTTCAATATGCGCTTTGGAATCAGCATAACTACATGTACCCAAACCCACATCTGGGTTGTGCAGCGTGAGGTCACAGAAGTAACTAATCAGGTTTATTAATTGTTCTTGGTTCTTAGGTCTGTATAAGTCTTATTTCTGCTTTTCCCTGGAACTAGAAATTTAATAAAGGATAATGGCTATAAAGTAAAATGGTGTGAGTGATCAGTAATTTAGATACTGCTGGACTAAGCTGTATCTAGAAGATAGGCCTTTCATTGTGACTTTTTTTCTCATTCATTCTTATGGCTTTTGGCTGGATATTGGTACATATGTGTGTTCAGGAATGAGAGCATATCCTGTAATTATTTTTATAGCTCCCCCTTGCAGCTGGATGTATTTTGAGTTATACTTGAAGGGTTCAGGCATCTGTAAGAGAACAAAGCACAACTGCATTTCTAATTCTGCTTCACAGGTTGAATCCATGCTGGACAATGCAGAAAGAGAACGCTTGGGAAATCCACGCCAGCCAGAGAAGCCTCTCATAAGATTAAGAGTAAGGAATTGTTTGGTTTGGATTGCTTTGTTTTGAAAGGTCACTGAAAAGTTTCAAAGCAAAGTCATACTTTTTGTATAAACACATACTATACAAGATTTCTTACTGTGTATGGGCAAATATAAATTGCCTTCGTACCATGACTCTGTTTACCTGCAGTATAACTAGTATTCTGTGGTAAAGGATGAGACTGGTCATAAGTGCTCAGACCATCACTGCTGGTCTGAGTAAGGGCATCAAAAGTGGTTATTTACAAAGAGGTTTTTCTTAAGTCATGTTATCCTGTGTTTGTTCTTAACCAAATTTATGGAAACATTCCTGAAGACTAGTAAATGAGGCAAGTTAGGAAGAAATTAATAATCTGGGCTGTTATTCTGTTAATGCTGTTATTAGCTATTATTATCCATTAACTGTTCTTCATAGTATGGTAAAGCATTCATTTTAGGTTGACTGATTTTTTACTTTAAGTTTTCCTTTGCAGGGTAACAAACTCATCTTGATATGTGTGGCTTCTCTATTTCTGTTTATTAAATATTTAAATTTTTCCTTTCTTCTCTTAGGTTGATTATGCAGGTGGCTTTGAACCGTTCAGCGTCCATCGTTTTAGCCAGAAGTACATGGATAGGGTGGCTAACCCAAAAGACATTATATATTTTTTCAGGCATCGTGAACAAAAAGAGAAAAATGGTAATTATAAAGGAAGGAATCATTGGCTTACCTTGGTTTTCATTCTTCTTCCTTTATTTTCTTATCCAGCACTTACTTGGTGTCTGCCATTTGATGTGTTATAGGAAGAGTAAAGATGCAGTCTCCTTTAAGTGTATATATCATACAAGTGCTTCTGTTCTATTTCTGGGTTTGTCTAAAATTCTGATATTCAGCACAGCATCTTCTGGCAGTTATTAATAAATAATTCTGGGTTTTTTTTCCTCAAACCTTACTGAGTTGCTTTAGTAATCCCATAGTATAGCCCCATACCAGACCAAGTTACTCCATGGTTCGATGATAATTACCATGAAAGGCATTAAATATCTTACTTCTGAGACTTCTCAGAATGAGGTGGTTGGTTTTGGGCACTCTGCAGGAAAAGAGATGGGTGTTATGCCTTTATTATTTAATTTTATTGCTGTAATAATTCATTTATTTAATAACGAAAATAGTAATGGAGGGGCTGGGCTTCAGAGGTGTTTGTGTATTTAAAAAAAAAAAAAGGTCCAAATGTACGACAGCATTTTGTTTGCCCTAATTAATCATGTGTATGTGTGCTCTGGGCTAGTCTGTTCCAGGTATGTCTCTATTCAAGCGTTTGTGCAAAACAAATAATAGCTGTTACTATTGTAGCATTTCTCATTGTGCCTAGAATTTTTAATAAATGGTTAATAGATGTTGCCCAAATACTGGATTTGTAATAGTAACTAATGAAGAAACAGCTTGGGTAAGAACATACTGTGCTAAAGAACTGTTAATATTTCACATTAGTGCACTGTAAGTACTGCAGTTCCACTGACAGCTTTTACTTACACTGTCAGTTTTATAAAGTCCAAAACATAATGTTTCATGAATAAAAATTGCTTTTAGAGAGGGTTTTTTATTTTTAAATTATGCTGTATTGATCTTGTTTTATTTTTCTTTGTTGTTTTTTTAATAGCTGTGTAAGCTCATTGACATTTTCGGAATACTACCAAATACATACCAGATACGGATAGCTACCATATCTGACACCATGTTTCATCAATGCATTTTAATTTTTTTACTTAACATGCATCTTGTCTTCAGGAAGAGAATGTAAATGTAAAAAGAATACTATGGTTCTTTGCATTGCTTTATTAGATGTACTTTAATATACGGGAAGTGGCTGATAAAGCAGTCAACATTTTCAGCTCATGTGCACACAATGCTATGGTTCAGTACCAGTGATGTTAGGACTTCATGAGTTCACAAGTTGTTATTGTTTCTGTTGTCATAGCTGCTTATGTAACAAGGCTAACAAAACAATGTTTTGTGCTTGCATGTGGCAGATGTCTGGAAGCAGTCTGTAGTCACTTTATGTTACTTTGCATGGTATGTGGTAACCTCAGCTGATTATCCCTTTCATTTTTCTGTCATTCCTACCCTGCTGCCTCAGAATGGGGGGCAGCCTTAATGTGCTATGAACATTTTCTACTGAAAATTAGTCAGCATGCTTTGGAGGAAAATTTCTTCTTTAGTAACAGAGTTACTTATAAAAAAAAGATTGTCCTTTGATGGGTCCTTTGATTTTTTTTTTCCATTTGTCATCTTCTAGAGTTCAATTATAATAACCTTCACAGGTCATTGTGTTCAATTTATAATTCCAGGCATTTGGTAGTTAGAAGAACACTTTGTATCTGCTAGAGGTGAAGTTGTCTTGTACAAGATTACATCCATTATGTTTACCTATTACCAGACGATAGACTCTACAGTTAGAACAAAAAACTTTTCCATATAAAAAGGGACCACAATTCTTAAGAGATCTATATTAACCTTTTTTTCTGTTACTTTCAATGGAATAATAATTAAAAGCTGCAGGCCTGGGTGACAATGCCACTTTGCTTTTTTCTTCTAGACAATGATCTTAATTTTGGAAAGCTGGTTAGCAGACCTGCGTCTGAGGGGATGACACTGAGGGTGGAAGACCTTGTAAAGCAGTATTTTCAGACAGCAGAGAAGGTATCTTTCTACCTTTTATGATTTATTTTTTTAATGGAATATAATCTTTTTATCTATTTTTGCTTTCTTAATGGAAGTAGTGTGCCCTGAAAAGACTGACATTTGCCAAGAAGTGAATTTATTTCCTACAGAACTGTATGCGAATTCCTGTGCGAAGTATATTCTTAGGTTAACAGGTAACTGTTGTATATAGGTTGTATACGTTATGTGAACACATGCTGGTTTGAGAACATTATGATAACTCTTCATGTGAACTTGCAGTGTCTGCCCTGTACCAAATGATGTGTCATGTTCTTAAAGGAGGAAAATGTGAGGCAGCATACTCTGAGTGAGAAACTACCTTACTTTACTATAGGGTCAGTGTGAGACTGTACCATTTACTATTACCAGCTGACTTGGTGTAGTAACTTGTTACTTTGTGATATATTTGTACCCTCAGATATAGTGCAATTCCACATTAGATTTAAAGCAGAGCAGGGAGAAGAAAGAGACCCCCCCAGTAGTTTTCTTTCTCTTCACCTTTTCATTAAACCTGATTTATTTTCCTCTCCCAACACCGGGGCAGTAGTCTCAGAAGTAAAAACATAATAATCAGTGAGTCAGATGTGCAAATGCTTGATCTAGATGATCAAGCCTAACACTCAGAAGCTACTTCAGAACATGTTTTATAGAAAGTCATTAGAGTAAGGATTCCTGAGGCAAAGATTATAAAAATTATATCATCTTGCCTAACCTTAGACATATGTTAGGTGTCAGTATTGGGATGGTATCAATCATGCCCTGTTACACCATCTTCCCAACTTGTTTGTATGCTCTTTTATAAACAGCTCAGTTACAGGTCCTTCAGCAGCTCTACATCTGTAAAGACCCAAAAAAATCCACTGCTATTCTGGGAAGGCTTGCAGTAGGGGGATAATACATTTTAAGTTAACACTGGTAATGAAGGAAGGAGGTGTTGGGGACAAGAAAGCATGTTGTACCTGAAAATGATCATGGGAATCATAAACATTGTGTTAAGCTAGCTTGTGCTTCAGGATTTGCTAGACACCTGATCTTGTCTGATAAGGGAAACAAGAGTCTTTGGACCCTGAGGTGGCACAGGGCTGTAGTTGAATGTTCAAAACATGTTAGACCAAAATGTCTAACAAGTACCACTCTGTTCAGTTCCTGTATCTGGGAATTAAAAACACTGCAGTTTGTCTCTCTAGCAAGCTTTTAATTTTTTTTTTTCCTTTGGAAGAAAGTTTAATTGCCAAAAGTCGACATGAGTGTTCTGCATCATTACAATCAGTCGCTCTTTTGAGATGCTTATTTTTTTGTAAACTTACATTATAATAGCTGTGAAATTTATTCCTCTGCACAGCATTATTTCAGGGAAGGTTTTATGCTTCCAATGCAACCCTCAAAACAGTTCCTAAAGGACATCTGGAAGGATCAAAAATCATTAATAAGCGCATGTAATGCTTGAATCTGTGCTGTAGTTTATAGACAAAAGAGGCTGCTATTTCAACATTATTCTTCATATGAGGATTTCATTCTCAGAATGTCTCTTGTTACTGTATTGGGAAGGACAGTAGAGAAGAGAATGGCTGCGAAACACCACCTGTAGCATCTACTACTTCTATTAATTAGTGTCTGTAGTAATATCTTAATGTAGTATATCTTGATGAACATGTGAGAACCATTATTAGTATTTACAAAATTGCATTTCAATAGCGTAGACTTCTGCTTAATAGCTCTTAATGCTTAATAATAATAATTTACCCTGATCTGTAACTGCCATTTTTTAATGTTAGAATTTTACAGTAAAAGTAATTAATTTAGCATCTGTAATAATTCAGGGCTTGTTTTTAGTAGCGTTCTTATGTTTCTGCAAGTTGATCTTTAGTTTAAAAAAGGGAGAGGAACTAAGAAGGAATACAGTTTACCTTCTCTCAGCAATACATTTCAGACAAATTATTCTAGGTATGACTAGCACTGTAGTTTCTTTACTGCTTATGAAACCTTTTTCTCTGAGTCTGGACATTACTCTGTTAAGTAGGTATAACATGTTAGTAGCAAGAAGGTTGTAACTATATTATAACAAGTAACATGTATGCTTATTGCTATGCTTTTCTTTGAAATCTTCAATGCACGCTACTGTTTTGGAACTAAATTAATATTTATATGAAACAGCAGGAATATTACTCGCTTTCTTTGATGGCAGATACTTCTTAACAAAATGTTTTCCCTAATTATAAAGAAAGTACAGCTTTCACTTCTAACTGAAAGAGGAATGGGAGAAGCAGTGCAGGAGTTTGTGGACAAAGAGGAGAAAGATGCCATAGAAGAGTTGGTGAAATTTCAACTAGAAAAAACACAGAGATTTCTTAAGGAGCGTCGCACTGATGCAGAGGAAGAAAAAATAGACGAGGAGGTAATAGCCTGTTAATGTTAATTTCTTGAGAGAGATCAAGAAAGGGAGTAGAAGAAACAGTGCTTGAATCTGGTTTCATAGATTTGCCTTTGTGTGGAGCATGTGCAACACTTGCCTCTAGTCACTTTCTGGAATTAATAGATATGGTGGTGAAGTTTCAGATGAAAAGCTTGTATTGAAAATGGGGTTTAGGTATACTTATACTGATTCTCACTGATTGCACATGCATGTATAGAAAAGACCTGTTGCTCTAATATATGTAGAAATATATATATATATATATATATATATATATATATATATATATACACACACACACACATATATATATATATATATATATATATATATATATATATGTCTACTGTGAGAAAGATGGTAAATACAATCTCTTAGATTTTTCATACTGGCTTAGGGAAGAATACAAGAGCAGAGCAAGCATAATAGAACCTTATCCTTCAGGTGCTCCACTACCTTCTAACTACTTGCAGCTCAGGGTCTCTGAGACAAACATGATTTATGTGTATTTAGTAACCCTTAATAGACTTCTCTGTCAACTTGTTGAGCTTCTATATGAGCCCATGTATTCAGTTGTAATATTCAAGCATTGTATGACAAGTTGTTCTGTATCTTAACTGCACTTAACATTATTAAAGAATAATTTGGTGGGGAGAGGAAGGTTGCACCTACCCGTTTTCTCACTGATTGCTTTCATTCATGAGGAGTTGAAAGAGACTAAAAAATTGGTGCCTGTATGGTTTCTGTGACACTTCAGGTGTATTTTTTGTTTGTATTTTGGACTAATATCTTCTTTCCCTCTCACTCATCATATCTTTTTTTTCCATACTTGACAAGTTGAGCTTTCTTACTTGTACATGTGTTGCAATGTCTGTCTCTTCTCAATGTCATAGTTTTCTATCTTGCTTCTTTATCTCTACCCCCTCTTTTCTAATTATTCATATTTCACTGCTCCTTATTGTCAAATTATGTATACTCTCCTCTTGAACATGTCCTAATTTTCCTCAGAGCCTGTCTTCTGTAGCAAGGAAGGGACACTCTCAAATATGCAGCCTTTTTTCCCTGGTGATATAGCTTCATTTATTAATAGAATGTGAGATTCTCAAACTGTAGGACAGCATGAAAAGGCTCCAAACAAACTTCAGCTATTCTTGCACTCTTCTTCACCTCTCAGATGAACTTGACTTTAAAATTCAGTGATTGAGACCTCTCACTTACTATGTTTTGATTACGGTATGAAACGACCTGTTATTTTGATGGGAACTCTTTTTTTTTTTTTTTTATTCAGGTGCGAAAATTCAGGGAGAGTAGAAAAAAGAATACCGAAGAAGAGGATGAAGAAGTTCGTGAGGTAACTCCTTTGAATATTGAACATAGGCTGAAGAATGCATATGAATGAAGTCACTTAACAATACTTCAACACTGTCCTTGACAAAAAGTGCCTGTCTGCCTAGGGAAGATTCGTGTAAGTCTTTTTTAAATCTTCCTTGGTGTAATACATGCCTAAGCTACTGCTTGATTTGGCTTTTGTGATCTCTTTTCTTGTGCAAATTTTTGAATCTGAATGTTCAGTTGTTCTTGCTTTGATCTGAGGTTAGATCAGGCAAGTGACCTTCAGAGTTCTGTCAGCTTAAACTATTTGTGATCCCATTGTCAGTGGACATGTGAGTAGGCTGTACTGAGTGATATTACTGGAACTGGTATTACTGGTAAACCTTTAGGTACTATTGTCCTCATCAGCAATCTTAGATCTCAGAGTCTTATATCTCCCAGAGATTCATATCTAGATTGTACATATCCTTCCAAAGGGAATTGCCAACCATTGGCAGCATTGGTGCTCCTTTGTCTTTGCAAGCTTTGTGGGAGTGGAATGAAATTTTGAGAAAAATGAAACCTGGGGTGAGATTCAGTTCTAATCTGAGATACCTTCATGTAGTAAACTAGTTGTCTTAAACACAGGCTGTCATCAGTGAAGATCAAGTCAATGGAGCCCAGAGGGTGCTTCCTCTGAGCAGATGGACATAGCTGACATAGGATGACTGGAACAGTTCACCAAACTCCACTGACAGTATCATATTAACTAACTCCATTCTGTTGTCAGGGCTTAGCTTGCTACTTCTCTAGTCAGTCTCACCTCTGTGCCCAGTAAGATCATAGAGCTGATCCTCCTAGAAACTGTGCTAGGGCACGTGGAAAATAAGGAGGTGATTGGTGACAGCCAACATGGCATCACTAAGGGCAATCATGCCTGACAAATTTGGTGGCCTTCTACAATAGGGTTACAGCACTGGTGGATAAGGGAAGAGCAACTGTCGTCAACTACCTGGAATTGTGCAGAGCATTTGACAGTGTCCTGCAAGACATCCTTGTCTCAAAATTGAAGAGACATGGATTTGACTGATGGACCACTCAGTATTGGGACCAGCACTGTGTTAACATCTTTGTCAGTGACATGGACAGTGGGATTGAGTGCACCCTCAGTGAGTTTGTTGACCAAGGTGCGTGGTGTGATCAACACACTGGAGGGCAGGGATGTGCCATCCAGAGGGACCTGGACAGGCTGGAGAGGTGGGGCCGTGAAAACCTCATGAAGTTCAACAAGACCAAGTGCAAGGTCCTGCACACGTTCAAGGCAATCCCAAGCACAAATACAGGCTGGGCAATGAGTGGATTGAGAGCAGCTCTGTGGAGAAGGACTTGGGGGTATTAGTGGATGGAAAACTGAGTATGAGCCATAAATGTATGCTCCCAGCCCAGAAAGCCAACTTTGTCCTGGGCTGCTTCAAGGGAAGCGTGGCCAGCAGGGTGAGGGGGGTGGGTTCTCCCCCTCTACTCTGCTCTCGTGATACCCCACCTGCAGTGCTGTGTCCAGCTCTGCAGCTCCCAGCGTAAGAAAGACATGAACCTACTTGAGCAGGTCCAGAGTAGGCCATAAAGATGATCAAGGGGCTGGAGCACCTCCCCTGTGAGGACAGGCTGAGAGAATTGGGGTTGTTCATCCTGGGGAAGAGAAGACTTCAGGGAGACCTTATAGCAGCCTTCCAGTACTTAAAGGGGGCTACAGGAAAGGTGGAGATGGGCTATTTATCAGGGAGAGTAGTGATGGGAGGAGGGGGAATAGTTTAAACTTCAAGAGGGTAGATTTAGATTAGACATAAGGAAGAAATTATTTACTGTGAGAGTGACGAGACACTGGAACAGGTTGCCCAGAGAAGCTGTGGCTGCCCCCTCCCTGGCAGTGTTCAAGGCCAGGTTGGATGGGGCTTTGAGCAACCTGGGCTAGTGGAAGGTGTCCCTGCCCATGGCAGGGGGGTTGGGACTGGATGATCTTTAAGGTCCCTTCCAATCCAAACCATTCTATGATTCTGTTATATGTACACATTTAAATTAAGTAGACGAATATTGTCCCTGCTTTTTGATAGACTTCCTTGCCTTCCATAACACTGTGAATTTGGGTCTTCTGAGCCTTGGTGGTTTAGAACTATACATCACAACTAGGGTTTAACAATGGTGCATTTCATCATTTAAGATTCTTTTTCCTGTAGCACTTACTTTTCCATTTCAGGCAATGACCAGAGCTAGAGCTCTCAGATCTGAGGATGCAGTTCTTATCGCAGCCTCCAGTGATGAAGAACTCATGGATACGGGGATGAAAGGCACTGTTGATTCGGATGACAGCCTTCCTGCAACATTGAGCCGAGGAAGGGGTTCGGCAAGAGGTAGGGGAAGAGGCGCAAGAGGGCAAAGTTCAACAGCAAGAGGTTCATCTCGAAGGGGAAGAGGTAAGAAAAGCTTCACATTCTTTGTACTACAATTGATTACTTTTTCTTTGAAAGGCGACTCTTGTGATGTTTCCATCAAGTGGAAATTTGTTTCTTAAAGACTTCTACTGGAAAAAAAGTTCTTCACAAATATTTTTGGTGTCATATTATATACAGTTGACTGCCTTACAAGGCTTAAGTTGTGACTTTTTCACAGGGTGATTAACAGAAAAATATTTTGCTTCCCAGCTATGGAAACATAGTAGTCTTTTTAAAGATGCATTATTGAGAAGGTTTGCAATAAAGTGCATGGATAAACCTTTGTTAGTGCTAAAGGTAATGGATTTGGTCATTATAGAGGGGAGGTACAGGTTTTCTGAATCCTAATGCAAGAGACTTCATTGTTTCTAGGGGCTGAGAAAATGAGGAGTGTTTCCTAAGCAAAATTAAATAGCTCCTTGGGTACATATGATTGTACATTTTACAGTGATAGTGGTACTTCCATTATATATAAATATATATATAAGTAAAACAAGAAAAGACGAGGTCTTACAGTACTATACTCCTTTGAGCTGTTTCATTAATATGCCCAAAAGGTCTAAGAGCAGGATGAGTTAAAACAAAGGCAGTCATCTTAGGGCTGCTTTGGTTTGTGTCTTTAAACTAGTTCTATAAGCGTGTGCTCCAACACTGTTGTGATCCCTTCAGAGCAGGGGCATGTGTGTTAAGAGGATATGTCTGTGGAGCTTTGAACACTTGACCCAGAGAAGTTCTTCTGCATGTAAGGAGGGCTTTCCTTCAAAAAGAAAGTGAAGGAGTAAAGAGGAATATGGGTTTAAGTGACTTCCCACTCAGTAATCATAGACTAAGGGCAGGGGGGGGGAAACAAACACTGAACAGATCTGCATGTTGTTTATTATCCCTACAGGAAGCACTAGCCAAGAGTCAGCTAGCAGCAGCAGAACCTACAAGCCTGTATCTGTGCCTGCCAAGAATAAGACTATCATGGATGGTAGGCCTTCCATCTGCCCTTTGCTCTAATCTGCTCTCTCAAATTGCAGTGAAGGTGTTTGTTTAGTTATGAAGTGCCTTAGTTGCCTTAATTTCTATTAGTCCAATTGAGCTGTGAGAGATTCTTTTGGTTCTAATGAAATAGAATAACAGTGAGAGAAAGAAAAATGGAGAGGAAAAAAAAAGTGGTATCCTGCTGTCATGGGGTAAAGTGCAATGTTAGGTTAATGGTTGAACTAGATGATCTTCAAGGTCTTTTCCAACCTAGACGGTTCTGTGATTCTGTGTCAGAAAAATCTGATTAGAACTGAAAATAGGGAACATCTTACTGTATGCATTTCCTTAAGGAATAAGCATAGAAAGAATGTGACTTAATAGCATCCATTTAATGCAGAATATTCCTCAGTGGATTAAAAAGTTTAAACTTGACTGATGTTTACAAATTAGTAAGCTTTAATGCAAATCCATTTAGTCTTACACATTGTAACAAGTTTTAGAAATGCCAGTTTTTACTAGGGGAAAAAAACTTATCTGTGATTTAAGCTGCATATGTGAGTGTCTCTTCCTTGCTACAGAAGACAGGCTCTGAGGAAACAGCATAGGTAATCTGAGTATTAAAGAAAAAAATACTGCTCACAAATCTATACATGAATCCTATGCAACATGCCCACAGGTAGAGTGAGTTTTAAATTAATCAGCAAATTACCTTAATTTTAAATTGGTCAGAAAATGACCTAAAATACTGTAGAGAAGTCAAATTTAGCAGATGTGTTGATGTCTAAGCTGTTAGACATACAGGAATATCAATTATAGTAGTATTTTTCTCTTCTTAACCAAAGTTACTGAAGGATTTTCAGCCAGACTGGGAAGTACCTGCTGCTGCACAGAGGGTTGTCAGACTCTAGCAAAGGCTTAATTTATGTTTTGGTTTGGGTTTGGGGGGGTTTGCTTCTTTGTTTTACAGGGTATTTTGGGGAGGAAATGCATGCTCAGGAGGTCTTAAATAAGAAGAATGATATAACATTGTTTGTATTTTATTGTGTGAGCACTTTAAAAATACTGCATTTGTTTTATTCTAGCCTTTAGGTCTTTGAAACCAGACCCCTACTTGAATTCATCCAAATCTTACTCTGAGGTAAGAAGCATTTTGCACGAGCATTTGCACTGCCTTTTGCTGTCTTCTGATCTGAAAAATAAATACAAGGTCAGATCGTTAGCCTAAACCAGCAGATACTCCCAGGCTATCAGTTCCAGCAGTAAGTTTCTGCATGTTAATTGGTAGACCTTCTGTACCCTTTTTTGGTATGGTGTTTGTCTGAGACAAAAAAAGACCAATGTTTTATTTGTGACCATAGTCTAAGATACAGAGTGTATATACATGAGTGTTTGGGGGGGGGTTCTGCAAGATCAAAGATCTGAAGAGCAAGACTTGTGCTGTATTTGCACATTGTACAGCTCTCTCATAGAGCTGTCAAGTGTGTATTATAACTAAGTATATAGCTGGAAAAACCCCAAAGGTTCTATGCTATAGTACTCTAGTATTATGCACTATATCTCTGTAGGAGTAAATTCTGTGAAAAAGCTTTATAAATTATATCATTTTTCCAGGATATTATAGATGACTCCGATCTAGAAGACATTTCTATTGTTCCTTCTTCCAAAGTAAATCAGAGGTTGGTATGTTTATTTAATGAATGCTACCACGACTGCCTTATTTCTGATTGGCAATCGTCAGAGTCCAGGGATCTGATCCACTACCTGAAAAAACAAATTTATTTTTTTTAAGGAATTTATAACACTACTTAGAAAATTTATATGATTTCTTACGTATTAATGTGGATGATCTTTCTATAACAATAAATTGGTCTGCTGATTGAGTTAAGCTAGTCAGAGCTTTAGAATTAATATGTTAGTTTGAGAATTTGAATCATCTTACTTATTGCTATTTCTGTTCATTCTTAATGAATAGTATTGGTAGCTCAAATCTGAGTTGAAGGGAAAGTTATTGGAATGTCTGGTACTTGAGAACATGCTGATGCCTTTTTTTCTCTTTGTATGTGTCAAGGTTGTCAACTACATCTTCACTTAGTAAAAGACGTTCAGAAAGCCAAACGTCTAGAGGAGTAGATTTTGAGTCAGATGAGGTATGGTAGCTAGTGGTCTTTTTTTTCTTTTCTTTTGTGTAAGTTTCTAAAGCTTACTGTTTTATGGCTATTTGAATAAAATATTTCAGAGTAAAACTGAATATTTTTTTTTTTCCCACTGACAGGACTAGAGTATTGCAACCAGCTTTAATTAGAGTATATTCACAATCAACAAAAATAAGGCTAGAAAGGACCTCAGGAAAATATCCAGTCCTTTTTCCTTTCAATTCTTAATCAGTTAATTATCATTTCTGAAATGTTTGGAATAGGTTCTTCTGCCTGGGGAAGAAAGTAATCATAATCTCTTCTAGTGCTTGGCTATGTCTTTTCATATGTTTATGTATTTTTTTTCTTGTAAAAAGGAATAATTTTTTTTTTTTTCATTTTAAAATGGTTGTTTTCCAGGGCACTTCATTTTTTTTTTATCATTGCAAGTTATGTAAATACACTTTAAAAAGAATTAAAACACTGTCTTCAAGATAAGATTTCTGTTTTTGCAGTATGTATTTGAACTGCTAAGAAATGGTTTCTTCCATATTTAAACAAGTAGAACTTGATTCATCTTTTTGCACTGGAATACACATTATACTGTCAAGCACTCTGCAGTTTATTTACAGAGACTAGCAGACTGTCATGTGTGGTCAGGATCCTAGCCTTAAAAATGTCACATGTTTGCCACTTTAGAGAAAAAGTTACATTCTTGTGTCTTCCCTCCACTATGCTATCTCTTCTTCTTGTACCCGAAATACAAAACTGCATGTTTGCTTGAACACACAAAAAAAACCCAGTATTTTTGATTCATGCAAATCTTGGTAAATTATGATGTGTGATATGTATATGGACATAACTTCATTGAGGTATGTGCTGCTCTTAATGATAACATTTTCCTGGGTGACACCTGGAATGCAGATTGTTCTCTTGTCAGAGTACCTGTTCTGATGATACTGATGTAAACTCAGTTTGTTCTCTGCACATTTGTGGTCTGGACTTTTAAATCAATGGATAGTCTCTTGTAACAAAACCAGAAAAAGTCAGAAAACGTCGAACAATGTGAACAGGCTTTCTGACTTAATCTAAAGGTGTCTTTACTTTTTATGACTCAGAATACATGCCTGTTCTAGTAATGCGTATCTGTTTACAAATTGCAGGATGAATTTGATCCATTCAAAAGCACTGCAACGTCAAGAAGAACTAAGTGATTTCTGGCTTGCTGTACAAGAGAGACCATGACAGTTAGTGAAGAAAAGGGAAAACAGTTTGCAAGGCATTCTCTGTGACATATCTCTGTAAATGATAGCTTGCCTTCAATTTCTACTTCTATGATATGTTTTTGGCTTGGGTTTTTTTTAAGTGGCACCCAATTTGGTGCATTAGACTAGAGCATCGAATATTCTGAAGTACTGCTGAAATGGCAAGTTCTTTCTAAAAGCCTGTTTTCTTTCTGGGATGATAATGTAAATAAGTCATATCTTTTATAGAAAACTCCATCTCTTGGGCTTGAATTTTGCAGAGGGGTAAACTTATAGTAGTATGCAAGTACAGATATGGATATGGATTTGGTCAGTGTAATGAAACTTGTACATATTTGCAATTTTCTACAGATACCATCAAAAACTCTGAAGAGTAAGAGTTTGACCAAAAAATACAGTTTTCACTACTGAAGCTGGAAAGTGTTCTAATATTTTTCAACTCTTTTAGAAGAACTAAACCCACTATTACACTGTTACTGAATGTCATAGTATATGGGAATGAATTCTGCTCTTAATTCAAGAAGTGCCAAAGATTTCAGATTGAATTGCATTGTCAGCTTTTACCCTGTAAATTAGTTGTAAGGGCTCGAGCCTTACAGCTTCACAAGGAATGCTGCTTGAAGAATAAAGCAATTGAGCCAGTAACAGTCAGGACGTTGCCTCTTACCTTTTTCTTAGTTGATATTTGTGGTGGGTTGACTCTGGCTGGGTGCCAGGTGCCCACTAAAGCTGCTCTGTTAATCCCTTCCTCAGCTGGACAGGGAAGAGAAAATATGACAGAAGGCTCAAGGGTGAAGCTAAGGACAAGGACAGATCACTCGCCAATTACCATCATACACAACACAGGCTTGACTTGTGGAAAATTAATTTAACCTTATTACCAATCAAATCAGAGTAGGATAATGAGAAATAAAAACTAAATCCTAAAACACCATTCCCCCACCCCTCTTTCTTTCCAGGCTTAACTTCACTCCCAATACTCTCAACATGTTCCCACTCAGCAGTGTAGCAGGACAGGGAATGGAGGTTGTGGTCCTCAGGGGGAGGACTCCTCACACTCTTCCCCTGCTCCAGCATGGGCTTCCTTCCATGGGAGACAGTCCTCCACAAATTCCTCCAACATCAGTCCTTTCCATGGGCTGCAGCTCTTCACAAACTGCTCCAGCGTGGTTCCCCCAAGGTCACAGGTCCTGCCAGGAGCCTGCTCCAGCGTGGGCTTCTTACAGGCTCACAGCCTCCTTCAGGCATCCACCTGATCCCTCGTAGGGTCCTCCCCGGGCTGCAGGTGGGTCTCTGCTCACTGTGGAGCTCCATGGGGGCCGGGCACAGCTGCCTCCCCATGGGCTGCCCCACGGGCTGCAGGGGAACCTCTGCTCTGGGCCTGGAGCACCTCCTGCCCCTCCTCCTGCACTGACCTGGGGGGCTGCAGGGTTCTTTCTCTCACTCTTCTGCCTGTTGTTACACAGCAGGTTCTTTTTTCCCCCTTCTTAAATACGTTATCCCAGAGGTCCTACCACTGTCCCTGGATGGGCTCAGCCTTGGCCAGCGGTGGGTCCATCTTGGAGCCAGCTGGCATTGGCTCTGTCGGATAAGGGGGAAGCTTCTAGCAGCTTCTCACAGAAGTCACCCCTGTAGCCTCCACCACTAACAAAACCTTGCCACGCAAATCTAATACAATATTTTTTTCAGGTATCTGTTTCCTCAGCCCACTGCTTCAATAACCCTCATAAAATGTCATTGCTATTTTCTAAATATTCTACAAATGAGACTTTTAAAATACAGTATTCACAGTGAGGGAACCACTCCTCCTGTTGAGGGAGTCAAGACCTAGACATATACTCCTCCTCCTCTCTCCTTCCACCTCTGTACACCCTACTCCCCAAAAAGTGCTTTTCTAAAGCTGTGGCCATTACAGCTAATCAAGGAAAAGGCCAGAAGCTAACACCCCAGCATGTCAGAGAAGCACTAAATATGTTGAGTTGCTGCAGCCATGCCTTTGTATTTTTACTTTCTCCTTCAGAGAGGTGGGATTGGGCAGTTGTGTTTCTCTGGCTCTCACTGAACATGTCTGTTGTTACTTTGCATGTATTGCTGTAGCAGGGAACCTCAATGAGCCTTGAGCTTCCTGAAGACTTCCATAAAAATGGTCAAGACTTGCAAATTTCTTGTGTAGAGCTTAGCAATTTATAAAGCAGTGTGACCGCTTAAGGTATCAGCAAATAATTTGGTAGTCTGGCTCTTTCATTAAGTGCTGTCAAAGCTATAATATTACCTATGCAATTAAAAAGCTGCTGTAAATACCCCTCAAGATGAGGGTTTAGATATTTTTTTTTAATAAACTATTTCTGTTAAGTAAATCATGAGTCAGTTTTATGAACTACATTGAGTGAGGGATTGATGTTTTTGAAACACTTTGCTGCTTTATGTCACTATCTGCATGTTTTGGGTCTGGCTGGGGTGGAGGCAGCTTTCCCCGCAGCAGCCCGTGCAGGGCCGTGCGCTGCATTTGTAGTGGTGTTGATGCCACCACACCAGTGCTTTGGTGGCTGCAGAGCAGTGCTCCACAGCATCAAGGCTCTCTCCAACGCCCCACAAAGGCCAGCAGCCTGAGGGTGCCCAGAGGGTGGGAGGGGACACAGCCAGGACGCAGCTGGCCACAGGGAGATTCCATACCACATGGTATTGTGCTCTGCAATAAAAGCTGAAGGAAAGGAGGAGGGAAAGACTATATTTGTTAAGATATTTGTCTTCCCAAGCAGCTGCTGCACATACTGAGGTGGCTAGATGTCACCTGCTGATGTGACAAAGAATAAATCTTTTCATGCTTTGCTGTCATGCACAACCTTTGCTTCTTTCCATTAAACCACCTTTATCTCAATCCATGAGTTTTTAATCTAATTCTCTCCCCATCCTGCTAAGGATGGAGAGTGAGTGTATTGGTGGGCACCTGGCAACACCCCAGGGTCAATCTGTCACACTAAATTAAACCTGGTTTCTGGTAAAGACTTAAATTGCCTAGATTATTGTTTCACTAAGGTCTTAAGGGGACTCCATCTTTTACCGTTGCAGGCACATCATAAGCAAAGATTTTAGTGAAGTGTATATAGGATTAATAGGAATCACATCAAAGGTTCTTCCTACATTTTTCACAATTTTTTTCAGTCAGCTGTCAAATTACAGCAGCTTTGTTTATAGTGTTAAACTGCAGCAGTTCTCAAATTCTTTTGTATAGAAGATAAAGATGCCATCCTTCACTTCAGGGGAAAATTATAGCCTGATATGGGAAGACTGTACTATAAACAGATATTTATCCTAATCATTATTGTGATTTGTTATACACAAGGGTAAGATGCTCAGAAAATTAACATAATTTCTCAAAGACCACACTGGATAGTTTTTGAAAAGTCAGTTCTTACTCATGTAACTTCCAATCCACCTGCCCCAGGAAAGCTCAAAAATTTAAAAAAGCCATGGTAGTGAAAGAGAGATTGTTCCCAGGGAAATGACAGGGAGATGCACCCTCTGCTGTGTATTTAAAAAGAAAAAGATGCATTATTCCTTTTTTTGAATGCTTCCAAATTGAATTTTTTAGTGTGTGGGTGGGTGGGTGATTTTTTTTTATATTCCTCTTATAACCCTTTTTTTCACCAGGTGTGTTTTCTAATATAATTTTGTTAAGAATGCTATTGCACAGTTGATTTGATGATGACTTTTTTTTGTTACCTGAATTCATGAGATATATATCTTTATTTCAAACATTTTCTAAATACTTTTCACCTTATAAATTACATAATTTCACAAATGCCTTTTACAAAAAACAGATACAGCGTACCAAACCCTGACATTCCTGTGCAGCTGCTTCCTTTGCTGTCAGTGGGTGCCAGGGATGGTGGTGCAAGGGTGAAGTCATCAGGAGCAGGTACCAAGCTGACAAATCTTTAGCAACCTGTTCTTTAGTAACAACCGCACATTGGTGAACTGATTAGACAGTTCGTACTGGGGTATGTTTAAATACAAACCAAACCAGAACGTTGATGTGAGTCAGAGAAGGGCACACAAGCGACATGGGAGAGATGTGACCCAGGGAGCTTCTACTGGGCTTCTTCCGTGACCCTCTGTGGGTATTTCGGGTCAGGCTTGCTGGTGTGTGGTGGACCATCTCCTCTGGAGCACAAGATGCTGAGTGCAGCTGGGAGGAGGGTGGGCTTGGGCTGCGTGGGAGTTGATTCCCACCCTCCCCCAGCCTCCTGCTCTCCTGGAAGCACCCGATGATCAAAGGCAGTGGCGGCTCTGGCTACACCTGCAAGGCTACCCTGCTAGAAATGAAGAATTAGATCAAGGGGAGTATATAGACAAAAGTAATCATTTGTGCTGAAATACGGATTATAGTACAGGGGAGCAGGATCTGATAGATATGGAAAAGAAGAGCTGGAGTTTGAGTGCCACAACACAGAATACTCTTATGCACTGGCCAGCAGCACTGAAAGTGAAGGGGACTTGGGAGCTGCTGGAGCAGCCCAGCGAGAAGGGGGACATATGCCACCGACAGCTCTGGTCCCATCCCAAACCCACACCAGAACGCTGCCCTGTCCTGCTTTCTGACATTTCCCTGGGCCTTTATGTTACATTGTGAGATTATATTTTCCTGGCAGCATCAGACTGCGGGCATCCCTGCTGCCCAAGTGCTTCTGAGGTGGACACAGATTTCTTTCTTCTCCCTGAACGGTCACAGGTGACCACCACCTTAACAGCTCCAGCAGGTTTGCTGGAAAGCTTCCTCTGAGACAGGCAAACTACTGAAAGACCTCAAGTTGGATAATTCTGTGGAAGAAATAGATGCTGACAGCAGTTTGCAGAGGAGTGCTGTGGGCTGGCCATGCTGCATGTCCTGCTGTGTTCAACTCCTGAGCAGTGGTGAGGAGAAAACAGCCCAGGTGGTTCACTGGGAGAGTCACAAGCATCTTTTGGAAGTGTTCTTTTCATCACTGAGTGACCAGCGTATAATACAAGATAATGGTCTTTTAATTGATGGTTAAATAAGGCCTTCTAACCCAACCTGCTCTGGCTGGGGTTAGTTAGCACCACCCAAGCAGATCTGTCCCAGCAGAGGGGCAGCACGGCAGCACCTCTCATGTGCACTTGTGGAGGGGCAGGTCTCTCTGGGCTGTGTAGGATTTGTGTCTCTTGGTCTCCTGATACTGATTTTACATTTCTTACTGTGGTTTTGGGGAAACATAAACACTGCCAATTTGTCAGTGCTTGGACCCAGTGTATGGCTGCCTGTTGCTTTGGATACTGGTCTCACTGGGTTGTGACATCCCTTCCCATCCTCTGTCCCATACAATACTCTTTTTGTAACCACCTCTGTATTTCTAAAAACCCTAGAAAGCACAGTTGCACATCAAACTTTTTATTCCCTTGGCCAAGAGGAAATCCCTGCCAAGGGAAACTTAAGTATTTGTCTCTCTGAGGGGAAAAAGGTCTTTAGAAAAATACTGTATGTACAGTAAGCTCGCTTGTTATTCGCAGTTCATCTGTTACTTCCCTATTCTGTGCTAGTTAGCAAGTGTCATGCTGTGAAATAGGGTGAAACTTGACTGCCAGACCTTTAAAAATAAACCTAAATTTGAACTGTGTCCTGGAAGAGAGCAGAGCTGCCACACACACTGCTGGTTTATAAACAGCACAGAATTTGCATGAGCTAGGCTGCTGGTAGAGAAAAAGGTTGCTGATGACTGGAGAGATTGATCTGCCTTTCTCACAGATGTGCTTGTCTTGGACTAATGCCCAGGGGAGGTGACAGGGTGGAAAAGTAGCACGTCAGAGCAGAAATAATGTCATGCAGCCCAATGGCTGCAGAAGATCCCGGCTCGGAGCTCACCTGGAGGTATAAAGCCGGCTGAAGGAGCAGAAGTAGCGGTGAGCTGAGCAGGAGGGGAGCACGCAGCGGGAAGCAGGAGCATCCACCCGCTCCTGCGGCTTGCACGCTGTGTTTGCAGCCCCCGAGCGCGCCCGGGCTGAGCGAGGGGAGGACGGCGCTCCCAGAACACGGCGTGAGCTCTCCTCTCTCACAAATGAGCTGTATCCAAATTAGAGGAGCAGAGTGGCATTTCAAAGATGTTT